AGAAGAAGCGAGGAGAGGAGAGCATTATAAATGACGGTAGGGTACAGTGAAAATAGAGGAGCAAGGAAGAATGAGTGGATGCGCCGTACGTGCTATGTTTGCAGTGTAGCGCACCTTTTCATCCCAATGGGTTTTGCAAATGAGTGTCTGCGTTTGATGTGCCCGACCGGCTCTATTCAGCGAGCGGTTGTGCTAAATGACTGCCAGCCATTAGGGTAATCTCGGCTCAGAGAAATAATCTCGTATACACATTCAAAAACATGAAGGATAATTAGGTTTGTCTGAAGCCATGTGAAAAATGATCCCTCTTCATAGAGTGAGCGATTGGTTTAAGGACAGCTCTCGCCTATTTGAAGAAGGTCTAATATGACCCCACGCAATACGCATGCACTCTTTTTCAATCCTTGATACCATCATCTGCAAAGGGAATAAAAATGCAAATGCTGAATTTATTATAGTGAAGCGTTGATAGGTACATGCATTGATTTGGCGAAGGGTCTAATTAATCCACCAAAAATACCGGCTCCGAAAGCTTCCATCTGGGAAGGCCGGTATCAGACGCTCGACTTTTATCAATTAGCGACGGTGTTTCCCAGAGCTGGGCCTTGATCGCGTTCTGTGTTTCAAAAGAGAGCATTCCTCCGTTGCTTCTCGCTGCAGACGACTACCTGACTCAGCCGCGCGGCTCCAGAAATGCCGACGTAGGCGAGCGATTTCGCGCCGCCCGTCACGAGTTCTTGTTTTGCGCACTTCTTTCGTCGCCCCGTTAGCAGTGAGGCGCGAGGCGCAAAAAGTGGCCGATTGACGCAAAACACGATCGGGGCCCGTTCGCCAATCGGCCCGGGACTACCAATTAATCTTGGGTCGGCGGCGGTGCGACAGCGGGACAGGGGGGAGACAGCAGCTGTTCCGCTCCTACACAGGAATGCAACGGGATGGCCATCGAGCTTGCATCGCTGGGAACGACAAACTACATGCACATCTGTGTGTGGAACAATCTGACGAAGCCAATATGTAAGCATGCTTGCGACGACAGTTAGCATTTTACATGCTTATCCAGAAGCATCAAGTTTTAATGGCCCAATAAAACATATGACAGCACCAGATGCATTTTTGCTTTAATGCAAGTTTGTTAAAATACTGCGGATAAATCGCGACCGTTTCTTAAACGCATTCCAGCTCGTACTTTCTTATTCAGACATTCCTTACAATTTCTATTTTTGGCTATTCTGAATTGTGAATAGTGCGGTTTTGAAAAGATTGCATGAGTTTTGAGGCGTTGAGTTGGTCGGAGCATCACGATCGCATGAGACTGCATAGCACTGGTGCATTCTGCTGACTATGGTGGCCGTAAGTGCATATTCGGCATGAGTCATTTGAAACAATTTTCTCACACTGCAATGAAATTGCATCAATATTCACTCATCCTGGCCCACCATCAATAACTCTCGCGCTGGATTTGGAGCGTCGAACTGGAACGCCGCTTGTCATGCCGCCATTAGCTCTCATTCGCTGACTATGATGTCGTTTTTCATATCGGTAAAACCGGGGAGGCCGCCCCCAGCTCCGGCGCCTCGCCCGCGTGGCCCCGTGACCGGCACTGCCGGTCGCCAAACCCCGACAGAGATGATCGGATGCGCCAATCGGTCGCGTTGCGAAATTAAGAAAAACCTAATGAAGCCATGCGGCGCTTCAGTGTGCGCCGTTTTCGTGAGTCGTTTTTTGGCGAACGCCGGGCCGAGTGGCACGACTCAGCAGTGGGATGAACTCATTTATCTCGAGTCACCGGGCCGACTCGGGTCAGCCGGAAGTGTGAGCTCCGCGCGCGCCCGGGTCGCCGGGCCGCTGCACTCGTGACCTCTGCCCAATCGGCAGCCGGCTCCTCACAAATTGACCTGTCGAACGGCCTGCACCTGACGGCCGATGTCTCAGATGCCCGCGCCGCTCCATGGTGGCCAGAGAGGACAGCACGACCCGATCAACGCCTTGCGCAATGTCCATTACCTCGCTGCTGGAATCTGGCCGGCGCTCGCCAGCTCGCTCAGTGATAGAACCGAGAAAGCCGGCTACCATCGCCGGCCACAGCACATCGCGGGGGTTTTCTCTCGCCCAAGGCCAGCGCAAATCGAGTCGGGAGAGACCTCGGGACCTTTGGAGAGCAGAGTGGCAATCTTCCTGCAGATGACGTCTCAAAAACAATCTCCGCTCTCAAAAATTAAATGTAATAGTAGAGCAGCGTGCCGGTAATGGTAGGAACAATTGATGATATCCCATCTAAATGATGTCCTTTGTTAGAACAAACATATACTTATGGAAACAAATTAATGCCCGTCGGCGGCCGGCTTGTGGCTGTTTGAAATTCGGACAGGTCGGTGAAAAACGGTCTGTTTCGCCGGGGCGGTGGGGACGTCGAGATGTCTGGCGGGCCGACAGCTGCTCGCGCTGACAGCGCCGGCACGAGAGCGCGGGGCGGCCGCTGGTCGGGCCGCACCTGATCACTTAGTCAGCGGCGGTGGACAACCCGGCGGTCACGGAGCGGCTCGCTGGATGGCTCGGGAGCCACTGTGACCGCGCAGCTGGCGGTCCGGCCGGCCACGAGAGGTCCGGGTGACGCAGTGATGGCGGCCACCGCGTGACGGACGCGCTACAAGAGAATGGTCGTACTCGAGCCGAGCAGCTAAATGGGCCCTACTGCAGCGGCCAGCCGCGCAGTAACTGAATTATGGAGGAGAGCATTCACAAACAAATTGGTTATCAGACAATCGAAGTGCTTGAGCTTTGCGACTTTAGTTGTTCAAGCCTGTGTTCTCAGAAACACTGTCAGAGCTGATACGAAACGTATCTGGTCTGACGTGGATAAATACTATTTTTTTCGCAAGGAAATATCACTCCTTGCACTATGGTCTGTGAGAGCGAAATAAATCCGAGGCTGGGAATAAATGCAGTATCGGCGGTCGTGAGTCTCCATGGCTGCTGTCGGTCAAAAACAGGGCAGTATGCATTGTTATCCGGACTAGTTATTTCCTCTAGCCATGACCAATGTGTGGCAGTGGCGCAGAGTTTGGCCAAAAATCGCCGCAAAGTTTCCGTGTTCACACGAGATAAAAGGGCGCCTGCTCTAATTTTCCGCGTCCACTCGGCAGTTGTGTTCGGACACGCTCGTCCAGATAGCCATTTCCTGCGGACGCAGAGATACAGCCACCGCCCCGCCCGAGTTCGGAAGTAAGCCCCTTCACGACCTGCAGCTGGCTTCGTGATCTCGGCAGCCTTGCAGTTTTCCTCTTGGCCAGGTGGGGTCGGGCGGAGACGGTGGGACCGCGGCTGGCCCGACCACGCACCCGCCGTGACCCGTCCCCACACTCCCTCCCGGCCGCCGGTAAACGCAATCACTTAATGAGTCCACGAACACCTCTGCTTAACCCACTTTGCGACCCGCGCCGGCCGACCCGGCCTGCCGGATCGGTTTGCAGCGGCGACGCGGCTGCAGATTCTCCCTCCCCCCATCCCTCCCCTCGCGCCGCCCCCGAACCAGCCTTGGGAGATGTCGCTCTCCAAAGTGGTCGGACGGGTTGGGGCGTCCGCTCCTGCGGGCAGAGATGCACCAACTAGTTCATAAATATTTCCATCCGTTAATCTTCCATATGTGTCGGCTGGGCGATTTGCGGATTTGGCCTGTTTACAAACCAATCGCAGTGTGTGCGGCTGAGTGAGCTCGTCAGGATGGGTTGAAAACAGGTGTGCGTGACTGCTGCGCTGACGGATGGAGATAGGAGGCACGCTCCCGGCCGAGAGAACCGCTCTCAAATTGCCTTGAGTTACGTGTCCGTCGCTCTGCATTGCGCTATGCTGCTGATCTCAGAGTGAAGTGATCGGAACAACAGGAGCGGCGGCAGCGCGGCCGCGGATGACGAACCGGCAATGTCGGCCGGGCGGCAGCGGCGGCGGCGGTGGAGATGGGGGCAATTCAAATCGATTTACTCATTCCGACCTGGACAGTCCTTCTGAGAACACCTCTTCCCAAGTGACGTCACAAACACTAGAACTCGAGCGTCTACGCGTGAATCAGAGCTCGGCCAGGATTGCGGATCCCGGCGTGCGCCGCCGCCGCCGCCGGCGTCACATTCGTCACATTCCTCGGTATCTCGCGTTTCCGAGGGTGTGCCTGTCGGCTCCTCTCCGACCAGATCATGTAGACCATTCGCACAAATGTGTCGCACGGGTGACTCTGGTGAGTTTCTCCCAGGCCGTTCACGGTGCTCCTCTCTTCGCAGAAGGCGTTTCGCAGTAATCTGGGTGCGAAGAGTTCACCGCAGAGTTTTAGCGCGTGGCCGCCTCTGCAGCCGCCCGCGCTGTTCGCGTTTTGCAGAGACTAGAGAGCAGAGCGGATCGCCCCGGTCGCCGCCTCTGGCCGTGCGGACCGTGGTTATCAGCTCGAAGGAGTGAGCCGCCCTCTGCCTCCATAAATCCTGCGGCGCTCTGCGAAACCCGTGTCGGCGCTCCAATTAAGGTGCGCACGAGGCAGCGGGAGCAGCGGCGGCGACGGGCCGACGGACGGCCCTGTCTGACCGGCCACGGACGGGATGGATGGGCTCGGCTGACCGACCAACATCTCTTCTAACCAGCTGGCTGGCTGTCATGTGTGTCCATCTGAGTTTTACTAACTGAAAGACGCGTCCATCTAACCGCCAAACTTGCTGACAGGCGTGGCTATCTAACCACCGGCAGATGCACCCATCTGACCGGCTGACCGACCTGCTGACCGGTCGGACAAAGAGACCGGACCTGGCTGCGCCGTTCTCCGTCTCACTCTGCAGCTGAGACCGCGCCACGTCCGGCCCGTCTGCGCCGCTACATGCTCCAGTACCGATACAGTTCATCGGCGCCGAAACGGACCGAATTAGAGAACAAAAGACGTTCGCGACGGGTGGTGGGGCTTACCTCATCACACGCCCTGCACTGCCTGTTTGTATGGAGATTTCACCCGCAGTCAAAGAACCACCTCCATCGGTTGTCGACAATTTATTATGCGATTGCGCCAGAAGACACTCAGGACACTAATAGTACTCTACATAAAATATGTAATAAAACACAACTGTATACACTCTCGCATCACAATGCACGTCAACAGACAAGGAGCTAGCACAGCTAAAAGCTTAAATACACCTACTTTGACCGTTGTGTGTGTTTGGATGAACATCGGGTCGGAACGCACGCAATGACTTTAGGTGGAGTTCCAGCTCGTTGAAGGGGTGTGGCGATCCAATTACCCCTTCGCCCGCGCCGCCCGCGCCCTGTGCTGGAACTCTGGGCTGGAGCGACCGACCGACCCTGGGGGCGGCCAGAGATGACAACGCCCCTCGGCCATCTGCAACAACTCCAGGATGGGGGTGGGGTGGAATTTCTGAGGCACTTTAACGGGTGAATCTGCCCGTCGGTGGTCGGTGGTCGGTGACCGAGGGATGAATTTGTTGCGGGGTCGGGTCTATACCACAGCTATTGGTCTGGGTGCGGAGACCCAGTTCGACCGCCGAGGTGTTGCTTCATTTGCACACAATGCATCCGGCTGGCCCAGACAGTCATCGCCGACACCCCCATGGCAGCAGACGGTCGGAACAGAGGCCGTGCAGCGGTATATTGCGGGTCAGGAATGGCGAGCCGCGGAGGCGCGCGTTCTGTTCCATCACTTTGGCAGCTTAGAGGATAGAGTGCAGAGAGGCCATCACTTCAGTCAACACAGGACATATTTAATTCGAGGATCGATCCAACGCAAAATGACGTGAATGGTCATGATGAGTACGTGCATCAACACAAACGGAGCAGAGACAGCAACTATAACCCAGCGCCTGGTAAGCTCTCTAATCTCTCCGGCTGCGTAACACGGGTCCTATTGCACAGCTACTCGTACACAATCTTGGCTACCGCTGTCACCCCGGGGACGGCCGACAGCGGGACATGACATACACTCTCACATACGCAGACAGACATACACAGCACACACGCTGCAGTCTGCGGAGCACTCTGCCGGGGCAGTTTTGTACTCAACATGGGGACCGCGCTAATACTGGAGGCAGCGGCCGGCGCCGGCCCGGGGCGCAGTATGGCACGGCCGCCGAGAGCGGATGGTCGTGAGCGAGCCACGTGCGGCGCCACGTGTGGACGCCACGTGGACAAGGCACGAGTGAGCGGCACGCGCGAGCAACGCGCGGCGATGAGTCCTAATTGGCGCAGATCAGCGCGTAAAAAGCACGCGCACCCTGCGCATTCAGCGCCGAACTCGGCGCCAACACCGCGCGAGGCCGGAACTAGAAGCGAGGAGGGGAGTGACGCGGCGCGGCGGCGAGGTCTCACGTTCGAGCCGTGAGGTCGAGCGGCGTCTCGACGGCGGCCGGCCGCGTCACGGTCGACTCCTCGCTGCTCGAGAGGGAGGCGGCGCTGGAGGCGGCCGCGCTGTGCACCGATTCCGAGTCCGAGTCAGAGTCGACCGGCCGCGCCGCCGCCGGCAGCTCGGTGACTCCGCGAGTCGACAGGTCAATGGGCGTATCCTGCTCGGGTGCGTCGGCGGCCGCCGTGGGGCTGGCCATCTTGGGCGGTGAGGTGGCCATGGCGGCCTTCTTCTGGTAGAGCTCGCTCAGCTGCGCCGGCAGGTAGCTCTGCGGGAAGAGCAGCTTCTGCTGGTACGCCGCCGGGAAGAGCGGGTACGGCGTCTGCAGTGAGGCGAACGGCGAGAACGGCAGCGAGGCGGCCAGCGGCGACAGGAACGCCTTGTCGTAGAACAGCTGCGGCGGCAGCGCGCTGCCGTACGGGTGGAACCGGCCCAGCGGCGGCTTGCTGTCTGACGTGTCCGACGACGGGCTCTTGGCCGGGTTGGAGGCCTCGGACGGAGGCGGGGAGCACTTGGTGGCCGGCGGCGGCTCGGTCGGCTCGGCAGAGTCACCGTTCTTGATGGGACTGAGGCCGGCGCTGAACCCGTTGAAGCCGTTGCCGTTGTGCATGCTCTGGTTACCGTCCATCACCTGATGTGCCTGCTCCTGCATCAGACAGTGGATCTTGAACCAGTTGGAGCGTCTGCCGTAGCGCGAGCCCGACTTGGACATGCCCACCATTAGGCACTTGCGGAGGCGGCAGGCCTTGCACGAGGTGCGGTTCTTCTTGTTGATGACGCACCGGCCGTTATTCTTGCACTCGTTCAGCGACGAGAGGTTGTTGTAGGTCCGCCCGAAAAAGGACTGCGAACAGATGACACCTGTCAGCCGCGGTTACGGTCTCACCTCGCCACCGGTGTATATGCGATGTGACAGTGCCTGACAGAATCAGCTCGCATTGATCGCGTTATTTCGCAGCTGTCACAAATGCTAAAGCTGAGTATTCTAATGGGATGCTAATGCAGTTGAAAATCTAGACATCATACGAGCACAGAGATAGTCTAGGCGCCGGCTATTTATCTTAGGGTACGTCGTGTTTTAAACAGTGATACCGGACGCATCAGCGATGCACATACATAGACAATCACAAGTGAGTCAGTCCGCCCGGTACCCCCGCCTGCACCGCTCCGGACCCGTCTCGTAATTGGGGCCCGCACCTCTCCCAGGCCCCGTAGAGGGTGGATCGACACTGTAATTAATTACTGTTACGCTTCATGTTCCGCCGCTCGGCTTCAGTCGTTTATCTCTCATATAATGAAAATATGACGATGCTAAAAGCATTGTTTCCCCGAAGATGTGGGTCCATTGGCTGGGCGAGTGCCATGGATTGGTTGTTTTAGCCCTGTTCTCTCCCGTAAACGTCGCTGTGATAAAGACCGCGGCTCGGGCGGCCGGCTAGTAATGGGGCGAATAAATATCAAACATAAAGTCCTAACAATCGCAGCTGCGGACCTTATTTTATCATCACTAATGTACACAGGTCGCCGTGTGTCGTTAAAGTTTTTATGAAAATTGAGCTATCAGCGTCGCCGTTGAGTGCAGGGTTATGATCTTTCGCCCTTTCACGGGTGGCCGCGGCAATCATTACACCCACGGGCCTATCGGACTTTTTGTCAGCAACACTAACATACGCACCAAAATGCCGACGACGCTCCGAACGACGGCAAAAAGGCGAAAGCAGAGCGAGCTTTACGGGCATGGCGCGACCCTCGAACCGGTCTCTTCTCTCGACATTACCAAAAACCCCGTGCACCTCTGAGACGGCGCCGACCCGTCCCAAGCCCGCGCCGCCCGAACCGTGACTCGACTACGCAAAGGGAGCGATGTTGGTAAACTGTCCATGTCATGCGTTTTTGGAATGAATAAACTGTATTTTATTCCGTGAAAGTCCCCGACGAATCAAGATGACGACCACCAGCGACTACGAGACACAATGACATTAAAGCTCGCCCAACAAAAACGCCATTTAACTCGCGACAAAAACTCCAACGACCATCAAGTATTACCTAATTGCCGAATTTACTTGTTTTTATAGCTGCTGTGTGTAGTCGAGTTCATTGTTGGCTAAATGCTAAACTGTGTTTGTGATTTATGTCTTAGGAAGTATGCGGGCTGGATGTGCGTCTAAAAAGTGGCCGCACGCCGAACGCACGAGCTGCCAGCGGTCAGAGGAGCACGACAGGAATCCTATAACGTGACATTTTAGTGCACTGTTTGTGCCCTCCACTGGTCGCACTTGGCCTACAACACATCGCGCTTGCCATTCAGGCATGCTCTGACCGACATCACCGGCAAAAGTTGCATCATCGAACTGGTCCGCGTTTGAGTAGGGGTCTGCCGCGCCTGGGCCCTCTCTGCCAGACGGATGTTGAGATTCGTGCCCGTGGAGTTATCGACTTCGGCTACTGCGATACGTCCCGGGGCTTTCTGGTGACGTCTAAGAGGTCCCGAATGAGTTACAGTTTACCGATATCGGCGCGATCTGACGGCGGCGGACGGCGGGTCAGTCGGTCTGGTCTGGTCCCGCACCCGTCCGAGGGATCACGGACCGGGTCAGACGACAGCTCGTGACGCTAACACGGCCGGCGCGCCGCCGGGACGTGAGTGCAGCAGCTTAAATAGCTGCCGGACCTCCGATGAGCTCGATAAGTTGCGCCGCCGCTGTCGCCGGAGACGGGTGATGTCACGGCTCTCGGCGGACGGCGCTCTCGCTGAATAAGCGCGACACACCTCGGCCGGCCCTCGGTATGGTGGTCGCGCGCGCGGCCCTGCACCGCACCCCCCTGGCGCTGGCTCGGTATGGTTTGGCGGGTGTGCATGATTGACACGCCGATGGCCGGGCTGCCCTGGATCGTGACCGGACAGTGGCGAGACTCGCTCCGGCGCGGCCACACTAGGCTATCGCCGGTCGGCGGACGGAGTGGGGTGAGCAGTCGTCACCGCTCACACCGCCGCCGCTCTCTACAGTTATTGCCACCTCTAGCGGACAGTTGCCTAAGCGCGTGCCGAGCGGGTCCGGACGTCTGTAAGGCGTTGATACATACCTTGCAGCCCTCGCAGGTGAAGGCACCGAAGTGGAACCCGGCAGCCGGCTCCCCGCAGACTTTGCATAACTGGTTCATCTGGAAAAGAGGGAAAGCTCACATGAGCGCGGAGCATTGTCTGGCGCGTCGTATCACCAGGTCAGCATGTCTGGCTGACCTCAGGTCACTGACCGTCTCACCACCCGCATGGAGACAGCATGCCAGAGATCTGGTGCAGCTCGAGCCCGCCCTACACTCCTGCAGAGCATGAATCCGTAATTGACAGGTCGGACTTTTCCCAGTCGTCGTCGCAGCAGCGCGCGGCGGACCGGTCACCGGTCCTCCTGTCACCGGTCACTTAGTCAGTGTGACGTCACTGGTCCGACGGTGACGTCACAGGACCAACAGTGACGCGTGTCACTGACTGTGGTTTCTCCTCGGTCCACTGACTGAGGCGAACATCGGCAAACACGGCGCGAATTTCTACACCGTGATTATCCAGTCTCACTGGTCGTGGAGACGCTGTCGCGATGCGCCGACGCCAATCGGTCTATTCATGCTCGCGGTGTGTGCTCGGCCTGTCCACGCGGCCGGTTTGTGTGGGAGTGGGATTCTCAGCGTGACGTCAAACTGCGCTCCGCGGCTCGCCGTTCGCGGATCACTGATGACAGATGACGTTCCGGGATGTTAAAGCCGCGCGGTCGGGAATTAGAATCAATCGGCCGCTCGGTAGCTGCGAAAACGGCGCCCGCGCTACTGCGTAACTCGACGGGTTTCACTCCTATGATGGAGGGCTTCGGGGGAATTAGATTATCGGTGCCGGCGTTTGATCCCGAGGTAATTAGGGCGGCTTCTTGGAAAGGCCATTTCTCACTAGTGGCCACCACCGCTGAAATCTGCGGTCTATTTCCGAGGCTGACCCTCCGAACCTGGCCTGTTATCATTTTGATGCGATCTTCTGTGTGCTTTTCAATCATTTGTTTTCCCCAACAATAAATAACACACGCGCGTGTATACTTATTCACAGCTGCGCATTATCATGACGTACAAAATTGATCTTAATGGCTATTTAATAAACTGTTCTTGTCCTAATCCATTTCTTACCTCACACCCTAATTTCAGCCGGAATAATTTAGTCGGTTGACAAGGTATTGTTTCGGCCTCGCCGGGGGCGTGTCCGGTGATACAGTGGAGAGCAGGGGTGCCGCGGGGTCAGGGCGGGCGGGCGCCCGGGCCCGCTGACCCCCGCACTGGGTCAGGTGCCGGCCGGCGCCCTGATGAGATGCGCCACCTCGGACCGCGCCGCCCGACTCGTTCACCACGAACCGTCAGCCGGCGGTCGGTCGAACCGCGGCGCAGTGTGACCGGTAGCCGGTGACGGCGTCAGCGCTGATGACGTACCCCTCCGCGTCATCGGGCGGGCCGGCCGCGGGGGCGTTCGGTCTGATGACGGCCTGAGGTCTGTGCCAGTCTCCAGTAGTGAGAATTAGGTGTCCAGTCTCTCCGACGTCTCTAGAACTGGTCTGACACGAAATTATCCGGAGCGCGAACGTTATCGGATGATGGACCTAGAATCATCCTGATTGACAGAATCCATATCGACCGGCCGCTCCGGTGGTCCAGCCGGTCACGTGCTTCCACTGGCCAGCGTTGCGAGCGGTCACGTGTTCTGGGGTGGCAACAGCTGGCCGCCGCCTCGGGCTTTTCCGACTATACACGGCTATTAATATCGGGTGATTGCGTTTTTACTGGGCCGGCTGAATACGAAATACCGCCTTGCTGGAGCGCGTCGCGGCCCGCTAGGCGTTCGCTCCAATTCGCTCGGAGCGCCGGCTAGCGACCGGAGGCACCTCTCATCTGCGCCAGATAAACGCCAATTGACGTTAATTATATTGCAGGCTCTGAACTATGCATCAGCGTGCAGCTCTGCCGAACGAGCTCCGAAGTGCCGGAGCGTTCGGCGAGTCGACCGGCGCGGCCCCGCTCTGTGAATCTGTGCACAGAGCGGGCCAGCTCCGCCTAAATGGCCAGGACAAATTCCCGCCAGACTGGGGAGAAAGGCGAGCAGTGAGATTGCAGCCTGTGAGCGATTTACGAGCTGCCCTGCAATGGAAACGGGGACAGCTGCATTCTGTGCAATGCGCTCGGCTACAGAGCAGCGGAATTTGCATAGTGCTCGTCTGCTTTGTGGGGACGCGCAGTCGGAGGTAACGGCCGCCTTAGTGGTCCTCTTAGACCTCCGGGCAAAGGGCGAGAAGAGCAAACGAGCAGGGGAATGAGCTAACACCCCTCGCGCCGCAGGCAGGCCGGTGAGCGAGAACCGCGATGTCCGAATTCCTCAGTCACGAGTCACCTTTATCCGATCTCGATCTTGCCTTGAAAGCGCAGCCCAGTGTTTATAGACGGCGGTGACTTGCTCACGGGTAAAGAGCGAGTCACGAGAGGGGGTCTGGCGCCGCCGGCGGCTGGGGGAGCGGTAGGGGGGGGGCAGAACGGCAGACGGCCGCCACCGCCGCAGTGAAAGTAGAGGAGGTCGCGAGGAGCGCCGATTGGTATTCCATGCCGGCCTGTGTCGCGCACGGCCTCGCGCGGTGGTCATCTGCAGCCGCAGGCGACCGGCGCCGCCGCCGTGAGCCGACGAACCGGCACGCGCTCCGCATTTGCAACAAACGAGTTCAGCTCGAGCTGACGCTCGAGGCGACAGAGGAGACGGCTCGGCAGCGGCGGCTGCTATTGACGTCCGAAGGGCATCGTGAAGGGTCGAATGGAACCACCAGTGCCGAGGCTGCCGGGTCTCAGAGGGGCTGCACGAACCCCTCCGCGGCTAAGTGGCCGGAAAACCTGTCCGTGCCGACACGGCGCGGCAAACGCCTGACGTCACAGAGACCGCTTTACACCCGGGGCGTGACTGGTTCATCATCTCGCCAACGCTCTGCTCCCATTGAGGTGTCGTTAAATCAGTGCACGCCGCTTCCCGAAACGGCTCTAAAACACCGTTGGGGCGCGCGGATGCCCGAGCGGTCAGGGGGCACCGGCGCGGCGGCGGCGGCGGTGCGGACAGAGTGGCCACCAGAGCGGGCGCCGCGGCCGCGGCCGTGGAGCCGTCCAGTCGGTAGAGCACGGCTGCTTTCCCGCGCCACCTCAGCCGCCAGTGACCCCGACGTTCACCACACAGCGGGAATCGAGCTTAGCTGCAAAACTATTGCCCGCATCCATATTCAAAACGGCTTGGCGGACGCCATTAGACGCATACATAAAGCAAACGGGCGAATTAAGCGTCCATATTTTGGGGTGAAAGTGACATAGCTTTGTGGCGCTGCGGCGGCAGCCTCAGTCGTCTGTTCGCGCCGTGCTGACGCTGCTCGTGGTCGGCCTGTGAGCCAATAGACGTGCGCTAATCAATTGGACAAATAAAACGGCCCCATAAACGTGTCGCGCTCGGTCTGCGTGCCCGGATGGAGGGAGGCTGGGGGAGCGCGACCGGCGAGAGGCCTTGGCGCCGCAGTGTTTGCCTGGCTCGGTGATTGTGCGGGATGGAGCTGTTTGCAGCGCCGCGGAGCACGCGCCGTTACAGTTACATTCGAACTCGCTCACCACAACGGCGATTGAGACATTTATACTGCTCACTGTTGTTTTCGGTTAAGTTATGACAATCATAAACCATATACTGCGTGCGCACGGTACCGGTGACTCCGGGCCTTCGCGGCAAAATATGTAGCACTGAAAATGTCAGGAGAACTAATAAAACTACACGTGGCAAATGAATCTCAACTGGCGACGTTGGACGTCTACATTTTGTGTCGGCCGACGAGCCCGCACTAGATTACACGTGTTGTCTCCCAGTGCGACGGAATTTAAAGCGACAGCGCCGCCCGCGCGTTGCCGGCACTGTTATTGAAGTCTGCCGCAGGCGCACTGTTCTGGATCGCTTGTGTTGCATCTCATTAACGTTCTCTGAACTCTGTGCACAAAAGGTCTCGACAATGCGAGGTATCTGCACTGTTCGTGCGTTGAGAAACACAAAACAGGCGGGTAATTGTTGCGCCGATTTCAGTGCACATAAAGCAGTGGTGCATTCAGAGCAGTCGCCAGTCGCGAAAGGCCCGTGTAGTCCCTGCTGCTGCCGCCGCTGAGCGAACTGAACCCTTTGACCTCAGTCAGCCTCCACGGTGGCCTATGTGACCATATTTAGCAATGTCAGCTCTCCAAGCCGGAGCTCACATCATCTTCCGTCGCCGCCGTCCTAGAGGTCAGGCCAGCAGCACTTTATTGGGTGGGGTTTTTGTTCGGTTAGACGCCGGGACAGGTCAGAAAAACGCCGTGCCATCCCAGCCTCACCTTGCCCGCGGCAGATATCGACGAGTGGGGAGGTCCGCCCAGAGCAGTTTTTGTGGCAAATCGGCGTGTAACGATGGTGAATGTGTGGAATTCAGGCACTGTGATTTTGGTGTAACTCGGTAAGGTTAAGATAGCACCTTTTTATATCCAATGGAAGTAAGAAAATGTGGGTTTATAATCAACATGAACAAAATGTATTCGTGGGTCGTGGAAGTCTAAATATAGTGATATGACTATCCATTTCCGGACGTTATACCTGCATTAAAAGTTTGAGCGCTTTAGGCACGGCTAGCTGCTTCCTTGTCCATAAATCTTTGCGGTCAGAGCGCATTGGACAGACAGACAGTGCGAATCCCAGGCCGGATGTTACCTCGTCTCATCTCAGTAACTCGCACCCCCAATTTAGCACTCTGGACAGCCTCCATCCCACGAGGCAACGACCGCTCTGCAGTGGCGCGAGGAGCTGCTCGTCCGGTCACTCAGCGCACGGGCCGATACTGTTCCGGTTCGTGTTATGAATGATTTCCGGCGGTGGGCCGCGTCTCCGCCGGCGTGGGAACGTCGGTAACGACCAGGGCCGGCCAACCATCTCAGCCGAGAGACAATCGGCGCGCAGCCAGGCTGAACCCGACCTGGGAACCGCCGGGCCCGCCCCGCCGCCCGGCAGCCGCCAGAGCTGGTCAACTGTGCGGGCCGATGTTATAATAGTAACGTCCGTCGGCGCTGCCGTGTGATCAATTACCGGCGGCGACGAACCGAGG